AACATCAGAACTTAGTGGTAACAAAACTGTTGTAGTCCTGCAGACAACTAAATTATTATACTAGGAAGGTCCAAACAATAACACCATGTAATCAGGATTCTGAAGCAGAAGTCCAAATAAGCCATGATTTATTGTGTAATCAGATACTGCTTTACTTTGAGGTCCCCAAACTCTCTACTACTACACATCACTGACCTTGTAATTAAGTGGTCTGCTGCTACCAGAACGTAAAAGGACTTAATAACCTTGCAATTTTAGTCTGCTATAGAATGAGTACATTGCACCTGGCTTGACTGGCAAAACTGGCTGCTTTATACAAGCCAGGAAAAGGATTTGCTAACTCAGAGCCAGTGATATAGAGAATGAACTGCTAATTGCTTAATGATTGTCTCTCTGTAACTTTACATACCAAAGACTGGGGCTCGTCAAGGATTAAGCCTGTCAGAGACTGGTATTTGGGAGTGATGAGCAAGAAGGAACCATGAACAATCACAAAACTTAATTAAATGTTTGATAAATTTACGATCTTGTCGAGAAGGCTCAAGTAGAGGCCTTGCTTGAATAGATAGGGCCAGAAAAGATAAGAACGCCTGCCTTTGTTCTTGTCCTTGTAGATAATTTAGCTTAAACTAACCATATGGTTTTTACACCACTAATGAGAACTTAGATAATAAGAGCACTAACGAGCACTGATGTATTAAAACATGTAAAAGACCATACTGTGCAGAATCACCTGAGAAGGGTCAAATAGCGGACAAGTGAGGAAGACTATGGAAGACCACCAGAGGACTCCTGAAGACCACCAGAGACCTTCAATGCGCCTGCATAAAGGACATTTGCATATGCTAATAGTTTCCCGGAAAACTAATGAATATGTATAACATTTCTCAGAAATCTAGTGAAAATGTATGTAGAACATGTATTTAACCTGCACAATTAGACCTGACGGTGTGCACGATAGGTGGAGCGATCCCCCGTGCATCCAGCGCTGCCAATAAAGAATACCTACTTAATAGTTAATCAAACCATTGAGTCAATTTCTCTGAATCACAGTTTTACCAATAGTTCTGTAGATACAGTCCTCTGTATCTACTGCTGTACTGGGTCTGGCTGGGATGGAGTTAACACAAGTACTAAGCAGTCTGCTATGTCCAAGTGCTCAGAAGGTGGCAACCGCAAGACTCTCCTCTCTTGACTTGATGTCATTTTACATATATGCTGTATGAAACTCCCTATGTAAGACCAAGTTAAATTCTACTCTCTGGGGTAACAGCAGTTGACAGGTTCTAGCCCCCAATAAGATGGATGTTCAGTTTTGCTTCTGGAAGGCAAAATCCACATTGTCTGTCATCAACACAGGGTGTCTAGCAGTTTAAGTGGAGAATTCAACTTTTTCTTGAGACTCCTGCACACAATATTTTTCTAAGTTAGGCACCTATCTCACACTACAGATATGAAACAGAAATGCAAAGTGTAAATGCCTTTAAGCAGCTCTCTGCAAGATCATCTCTGTTCTTAAATCTACACAAGGTCTTATACCAGTCTTTACCCAGGAGCCTTAGACAACCTTTTTACTATTGGTAAACCTGGACCCTGAACCTGGGGTGATGTGCTCATAGGCAGAATGATGAGGGATGTACAGAACTCTTTATTCTGCAGAATTCTGTAAACATCTCATGCTTAGCTAGATCAGAGTTACTCCTGTCTGTCAGAGAGGTGACAAAGGCATACATAAATAAGGCCAGGGCAGTGTGCTGGGTTGAAGTCTCCAAATTATTTTCACAGCACCATGTTAAAAAGCAGCTGAACCACCACCGATAGAAGCAAACTTCAGCTGGAAATGTGAAATACTTAATATAAACCAGTTCCGGCTCAACTATGTAATACTCAGACGTGGGTACCATTAATTTCGTACCAATTTAGCAGTGTTTTTCAGTTCTCCATTACAGGCTGTATTGACCAATGCCATGTACCTTCAAGTAAAGAAAACCACTACATGCTTTCTTTCTTCCCATGCAAATATGTTTTCACACAACTACTTTGCTCAGTACCTGGCCCCATACAGAACTGAAAGTGATTCTAATGAAGATGGAGTTACTGTTTTTCAATAAAAGCACAAGTAGTTGTAAAAGGTCAATAAGATTTACTCTGGTGTTGGCTTAGAGATCATTTGTTATTCAAATGACAAAGGTACTATGTTTACGAAGTACACTTAGTGATCAACGGTACTACCTGTTTATCAGGCAATCCTTGGCATTTCCATAATTTCTCCATGCAATAAGACTTGAGCTTCGCTTACTCAACACAAACAGCAGAGGCTCAGCAATAATCACAGATTATTGCTGAGATCTTCCAGAAAGTATTTTAAAAACACTCTGTCAGTTTCTTGTTCTTGATGAGCCATTTCAAATGTCAAATGTTGGGTCACATTTTTGAATAATAGCTACAAAACCGTAATGTTATGAAAGTTTTAAATCTGCATCTTCCATGATGGCCTCTGAATCAGAGTAATAGAAATGCAGGTCTAAAAAGGACTTCTAAGAATATTTTTTTACTTTTTCTAGTTGCTTTACTTTTTTATAGTTTCTAGATCTATAAGCATTTTCTAGCTGACCTATAGATCATCACAGAGCAAATTTAACAAAAGGATTGCTTTTATTAATGACTTTTTACTCATCCCTTTGAATTCATTCTAAACCCTGCATTGTCTCATACCACAAATTGAAAATCACTGACGCATTACAGCTATCTCTACATTCACGAATATGAAGACAATCACCAGCCATTCCAGGAGTGCATTCTCGAATTCCGTAACACCATTTAGGTGCCAATGTAGAACATTTCAAATCTGATAGCAGCTATAGACAAGGAAAGAAAGAAATCTGGAGGAGAAAACTGTTTATTAAAGTAATCAGTGGTTTGTAGAAAGAATCCTGTGAAATTGCTCATTTAACAGGATGTTACATTGTTGTTTATGGGCCAAGAAAAGTGTTGGTATCACAGTCACACCAAAGCTTCACTGGTGTCCAATCAAACACAACTTTTCTATTTACCATTTTCTTGACTTAAATTTGTGCACCAGGCCCACGGGGCTTGGTGAATTCTACTTGCTTCTTAAAAAAACCCCCAACTATTAACAACACTTTTGATTTCTCTTGTCATGATCCAAGACCTTCAAAGCATGTCACAAGCATCAAAAGTCACTGTATTGTATCACTATCACTTACTTGTGGACAAGGAACACAAAACTCAAGGTATTTAAGGGTCTACCTAATTTCAGTTACCATCTATGAAAAGTCTGACTCTGATTCTAACTACAGTTGGATTTCTGCCTTAATGCACCACTAAGAGTCACAGAGCAATTCAATGGGAGAGACAGAAATAGAATACAGCTGTCCCAATTCTCAGACTCCATTCTAACCAAATGACCATGTGGGCTCCCAGCTTGGTGCTTATAAAAATACAACAGCTGCTGTAGGTTGCATCTGCAAACCATTCTCTGACTGCTTTTAAATGTATCTTTGTTCATATTCAGGCTCAGCTGAAAAGGCCTGGGGGGAAAGGCAGTGACAGAAGACTTGAGAAGCATATAGACTTTGTGCCTCACAGTATTCTCAGCAGAAGCAGGTATCAAATGACTCAAGGAACTTTTACTCCAGTGCTACATGTTCATTCACTCACCTTCCCTTGGGATGCAGAGAGTGTGCCAGCTGGGCAGATGTGAAGAGGAAGCCACAAGAAGATCACAGAAGCCATTTCTAAAAGCCAATATTAGTCCTGGTTTCAGCATATACCTCACCAGTCATGTACATGCCTTTATTGTCCCATAAAGAATGACGTCCAATATTTGGCCTATAGAACAGCTTTAGTTATAATGGCAGCTGAATACCCACTGATTCTCACTTCATGTTATTTGCTTGTAAACAAACCCATTAAGCACCAGTGGAGAAGTCTATTGTTATTACAATGACTATGAAAGTTATAAAGATGCAAATTACATAAAGATCCTTGTCATTATGTAGCTAGTAGTACAATATGAAAATCATCTTACTTGAACAAGTGGTTGTGGGATCTTCTTCCTCTCACCCCAAGTCTCTGTTGTGCATCAAGCTTCATGTAAATGACTATGAATGATGGGCAGGGGAACAGTTCTAAACTGAGTACTCTGTGAACTTCCCTCATATTAAACAGGCAATTCACTCAGTCCTCTAAAGAATGGACTTGCTGACCTATTGTGCTCTACACAATGTGCACATCTTGGCACTGTATTATACCTCTGGTGGCTTCTCTGGTTAGCCAAGTACAAGCTGTAGCATTTCCCAGTTGATTTCTAGCCACTAATCCATACCTTTGATGCACTGAAAGCTTGGATTTTAAGTAACAGCTTCCAGTTTCACTGGTGCCATCAGTGATGGGTGCAAGTCATAGAAATAAAAAGCCCCTAACAATTCTCTTTGCCACATGTTTCGCAGACACAGTGGCACTAATTTACAGTACCAGAAATTGTAAACTGTATCACTGTTTTTTGTTAAGACCTTCCCATAAATGGTCCATGCTGTAATCAGAGAGGAAAAACTCCAGTTGTCTTCATCCTGCTAGTAATGCCAAGTGACTAGCTTTCTTATAAGCCCGTCCTTACAAAGGGGAAAAAATCCTTGCCAGGATAAAATGACTGTCATCTTTCTTCCAAGTCCTTTTGAAACACTGCAGCAAAGCTTACAAATGAACTGTAACCTAGCCCTGATTAGCTTGATGATGATCTACAGCTGCCAAAACTCTTGAAATATCATATTTATATGCCCAACATAACTGACATGATTACTCCATCCTCTCACTTGCTCAATCACTTCATACACCTACAGGTGTATGTACATACGTATGGTAGGTGTATGTATATACACATATGTAGGTGCACATGTAGGTGTGTGTATATACACCTACAGTTCATTCTAACTCTCTTGGCATGGACAGTTGCAGTTTTACTTCTGCATAGTACTTACCATAACGAGATTCTGATCTTCACTGTTGCTGTGCTACAGGACTCTTAAAAACCAGTAGCCTAAAAGATAAAATTACTAATCTTACTGCAGGAAGAATAACACATGGTGAGAAAATTTAAGCCCTCACAAAATGAGCAGACCCAATAACTTAGTAACTATTAAGAACAATAAAGCCACTAGAAAAAAGTCAGGAACAGTTCATTAGTAAAAAACACACACATAATGCATATGCATACTCACAGGCACACAGAAACAAGAGAGGGGAAGGGAGCAATACTTGAACTAACCGTTATCTATTTCAACCATATCAGCTGATATGGCTGGTACCCAAAATTAACTTTAGTAACACCACATCCCTGTTCAAAATTCCTCTCTACATCTGATTCCAGGTTGTACCTCCATTAAGAATAGCTGCTCTTGGGTGTTGTGTATAGGTAGGCATAAATGCAGCTGCTTTGCTGATGTGGTCCTGCCACTGGCCCTGTCTCCCTTTCTTATCAGACCAACATAGACAACTTGAAGGCAAATCACATTTGTACTGCATCCTTAAAGCAAGGCTTGGGGTCACTTTACTGAATAATTTATACAAATGAACAGCTGTCTTTCACAGCAACTGAAAGCAACAATAAGAAATAAAATTCTTTAATTTTAAAAGCTGTTATAGAAATGTCTGAATTTCAAGAGGAAGATGCTCTACAGTCAGACACAAGGGCCAGTTCTGGAACTTTTCATTCTGCTTTTACTCCATTTTCTTATTTGTGCTCCTACTGCCATCTCTGATCTCTAGCCATTGGGCATGCATTTGTATGTCAAGCCTTCAGGAGCTTCTGAGCCTTGTATATTTGACACCTGAACAAGCAGGGACTGGCAGGTGGGATTTTCAAATATGCTCTGTGCTGATTGCTCCCAGTGAACTTGACAGGAGAACTAGCTGCAAGCTGAGGATTGGTGACTTTAAAATCCAAATCAGCATTTTCAAACACTTTGCGCCAAACACTAAATCTATTATCACCTCTTCTCTGGCTCACAAATTTGCTCCCTTTCACACCCAGTTATGGCTTCTCTTTGATAATTAGAATATGTTAGCAGCAAGTGTAAAGGAACAGCATAGAGGAAACAAATTAACGTGTTACTCTTAATTGCTATGGGAAGTAGTGACCTCCTATTTACAAACATCCAACTGACTTCGCAAGTTACTTGACAGTGTGAATCAGACTTACTTCTTAAAAGGAAGCTGGATGTCCACCATTTCTATCATACCAAATCAAATTTCCCTTAATCTCTTCTTGCTACATCATGAAACTCACCCCAGCTTAAAAACAGTATTTTGGCAAGGTATACTGAGCTGTAAATTAGCTTTGTCCAATGACTAATTCCCTGTTGGAAGTGAACAAGAATCTCTTGAGTGCTGTCATCAGCAGCTGTGGAAAAAAACAACAGGCTGGGCAGCTGGGTTTTTTTGGTGCCTGGAGGCATAGGGTCTTGCTTGTTTCATTAAGTGACATTATTTGGTTTGAAAGATCCTGGACTGTGCCTGAAAAAAGAGACAGGGCACAGTGATACTTTTTCTGAAGATGGCCACTTTCTTCCCAAATCACAGGGTTCTTTTGACTAGAAAACTATAGAAATGACCCTCCGTAAACATTGCAGAGATAATTACAAAATAAAGAAACATTACAGTGAATCCATTGAGATCTTTAATTCCAAACTGCCACCATCCCAGAAGGAACAAACTGTGAGTTAGTCTGACTCTTAAGTATACAATTAAGCCTGTCAAGTTCTGACTCCATAATATGCTGTTTAATATTGAAAAGTCTGTCAGTAAACCAGTATGTGGGATTAATGTCATAATGCTTTGGTTTTGCTTCCTCATGAAACTATAAAACAATTTAGCTGATATAAGCAACATGTTATTTATACTCCTTTTGGCAGCAGTTTTAATGCTATGTGGGATACTCCCCCTTCCCTCTAATATAATAGCCTTCCCTGGCCTTTATGGATTTAAATCAGTGAGAGAAGCTGCATGTGTTCCATGTGGAATTTATTCAGTAATTCTATTAAGAGCTTCCCTGCACAGAAATTAATGTTCTCATCTCATTCAATACTCATCCTATTCATTACTTAAAACAGAAGACCTAATCTCTCCCTATATTAAGCTTCCTCAAAGGATTTTCTATTAGTTTCAAGGAATTCAGAAGATTAAGCTTCAACACTTCTGTGTTTGCAAAACTATAAAACTCTGGGGCTTACAGTTAGAGCAGAATGTTTTGCCGTTTCTGGAATTTTTGAGAAGGAGGGTTGTCAATTTAAAGTTACAGAGCCTTCAAAAGAGGCCCTTTACTGTTGTTTCTCACCATTTTCAGGTCACACTTCAAGTGACGTTCAGCATTAGCCAGCAGAGCTTCAATGATTTCACCAGATTCTCTAGACCAATTCATTCACCTGGCTCTAACTAGCAGCTACCCCCAAAAGGCTTCAGAGCTCAGATCAGAAACAAGTATTTCATACCACAGGTGCCTGCACTAAGCAACAGCAGAAGCATCACGGCTGGGGCTTGGTGCTAGAACAGAGAACATGGTAGAGGGGTGGCCTTCATTTCCCCTCCTAGATTTTACATTCCCAGTTACTGAAAATGAATGGAGAATCTGTTATCATTCCTCAATGGTGTTGTTCTTTGATGAATTGCAACAAAGCCAACTGGGCTGTGACGTGCTGGGCTGCTGACTATCATGAAGCTCCTCTAATTGGGTATGTCTGCTACAAAGGGGCTCCCTTATGCTAATGCTGGCTATGACTACAGCAGGCTGCATTTCTAAAACTCAGTCCACATATCATTAAATCCACTGAATACTATCTAGGCCCGTTTACTTAGCAAAGGATTTTTGAGGACTAGGTAGATACAACTTGTTTGGAACCCTGCCTCCAGCAATGATTAATATTTAATACAAGATTTGTAGGTTAGGTATAATACCTTTTATTATAGTGACTTCTATCACTGGGAAAAGCTGACAATTTGGGGGGATCATAAGTCCTTTTTTAGTCCTAAGAAGAAAGACAAACTTTCAGACAGAAATGCCTTTCCTCAGCTATAGGAAAGGTCTGTATTCCTGAAAGCTTGCCTGCCTCGTAAAACTATATTATTGGTCTAATAATAGGGACCATATAGATCATTGTGGCTGTACTCACTCTGGCATTCTGATGTTATTAAAATCAAGATGAAGAGAAGCAGGAATTATACCTCTCACAAAAATAGAGTACATCCTCCTGCAGGGCAAACTATTTACATATTCTGATGCATGAGAAGCTGCATTTTAGAAAAGATCACAGAGGAAGGGAGACAGTTGTCCACCTATTACTGATACCTATCTCCATAATTTTCTCCCTGATTAGTTCAATTCAAGGAACAAACTGGGAGGAGCGATTTAAATAACCTGTGCTTTTAGATTTTCCAGAGAAAACAAAAGAGCTGATTTACTTCTCATTTCTGTTAGCAAGCAAGTCACCCTTGATTTACAATACTGTTAACAAGAAGAGGTTCGGACAAAACAGCTCAGGTTTGCAGTCATTGCAAGAAACACAATTCAGTAAATAACCAAGAGGATAAAATTTTTTAAAGAGATAAGAAGCTAGAAACTACAGTCCCAGTGACAGTGTACACTTAATAAAAATTAATGGGATGCTTTAAGTAACCAGTGGAGATATTTCTCCCAGCCTTGCACAAAAAAGTAATGTCATGTATGCAACCTTTTAAATCAGAAAAATGTGTGTCTTGTGATGTACTATCAAAAACCCAAGCTGTTTTAATAAGGGAATGCTAAGTGAATGGAAGAAGTGAATGGATTCTGGTCTCACTTCTTGACTCTGCCACTACAGCTCTGTGACCAAAGGCAAACCACTTAAACATTCAGCACCTCTCAGTGAAACTGGTAACAAATGAAATGGCAGGCAGCACATTAATTTCACACAACAGTATTTTTTTATCCTATAGTTGAAGAAAAGAAGAACAGTTTCCATAACAACTACTACATTTCAGGATTCTTAGAAGGATGACTATACTAATGAAGACCAATGTACTTCAGTTACCCATCTCTGACAGTGACCAGAGCAAGGTGTCCCAAGGAAGATGCAAAAATAAAATATCTGCCAAGGAAAACTTTCTGCCTACCTCCAAGCTATCATAGTTGACTGATTGCACAAAACATGAGTGTTTATATTCTTTAAAACAGAGATCAGACTTGGGTTAGGAGCAGATTTTCTCCTTATTCACCTTCAAGATCTTTTTAGGGACTGATAATTGTGTGCCCAGTGACAGACCTAATGCTAAGGCTCAACTGTTACAAACACTGACATTGAGCTGGGCAAGTACTCAGCACAAGTAGAGGACCCAGGCTCCTGCACACACGTGGGGAGTGAGCTGAGCCAGCAAGCCAAGCAACAAGCAGGTTGGAGAGAAGAGGAACACAAACCTCAACCCTCGCAGGTCACACATAAGGGTCTGACTCTGGGTTTGAAGGAGTTGTCTGTCTCTCAGTTCCCACACTTAGAAGCCCTTTCAGAAGCTGGTGTGCCCTTGAGAGTGTTTAAAAGAAAAATAAGGAACTTCATCAACAGAGTTGATACAGACGCTCAGGGGACTTGTAGCACCTGTGATAAAAGACAGCAGTTTGATAAAGGGGTTGAGGATCACTGTGGTGCTGAAATGCTGTATTTAGGTGTGAAATGTGATAGTTGGGCATCTCTGTGCAATTCTAGAACCAACCACAGACATACATGCTTACTGGGAGCCAAACCCTGTGCTGACAAAAGCTCTGGGCAAGTTTGGGGTTGTCAGTGGATTTGTGAGAGACAAAAAAGTACAGCTTGGAAGATGGCTCTGGAGTTTGAGAAAAGAAACTCTCCCTCCTACCCATTAATTCAGCTCACGGTGTCATGAGTAACTGCAGTGAGTGGGAAGAAAGGACATTACACTTATAAAATAAACCTCCAGAAAACTTTTAAATAGAAAAATCACCTGTGGGGAAAATGAAACAGAAAAAATTTGGCCCAAAAAAGCCAAAGAGAATTCTAAAAATAAAGACAGCATATTAAAAAGAGACAGTTTTCCAGCTGTGAAATAGGAAAAGGACATTATTCATGAAACAAAAGACCCTTTGAGGTGCTTGAATTTAACTTTCTTCCTTCAAACAAAGCATTAAAGCTCTACTAAATCAGTCCAAAATAAGACAAAAAAAAAAAAGTCTGAGTGAAGGGCCAGATGCTTAGCTGGAAGTCCTGGCCATTGCACTGTGGATATCATTTTGCACCTACTGAGAAGCTTTGCCTGGGGATGTAGCTGTAACACAGGATTTCATCCCTGTTCTCTAAAGGGAGTCCTCAGCTCAAAGGTGTCAAGAAGCAGATTTTAATGAGAATGAAAACAGGCTGACCTCTCTTCATGTGCTTCCATGAATAATTTTTGACATTCAGTTTCTGTCAACAGATAAGGGAACTTCTTTTAAGAAACTATGATTATAAAATGAGTGAGAATACATGCCAAATTTCGCCCTGTAGAATTCTACTGAGCCTGACTTTTGGATCTAAAACACTTAGAAAGCCTTCCCTTTGAGCTGTCTTCTAGGGCAAAGGAGTCCCTGAACAGTGTAGGAAACAGTGTAGGATTTCTGACCTAGCATTGGATTGTACTCCTATTCATCTGGCATAGAGGGTATTCCTCAGAGAAAAGGAATTCCTAGCCCCTATCTGCTGGAATGAGAGATTTGCATGCATTTTTATGCCATGTAGAACACCTGCACCAGTAACCAGGAATTCATCTACAATGTCTAGAAGCCAATTAGGAGCTACTACTCCTGTTCTGACCAGGTGCCAGAGGTCCAGAAGTCTGCCCAGACAAAAAAAAAAAACAACCCCAAAACAAACAAAAAAAACCAAACAAAAAACCCCCACAACTTCTGTGGAGATGCCCTATTCCTCATTTGTAAATCTGAAATGACACTGCTGCTGTAGCCAGGCATGCAGACCTAAGACACTCTTTGTACTCATTCCAGTACTCTCTTTGTCATATTTCTGTTTCTAAGCACACTTATTATGAAAACTGCATTGCAGTCTTAGAACGTAGATGTTCATTGCTGGGCAGTTCCTACTGGCAGAGGAACATAAAGGATCCTTAGCTAAATCTAATCTAATCAAGTTTCACCCAGGTACTTTAAATCAGATTTTTTAAAAATTGTTCGACTAAAGTATTTCTGTTCCCAGAACTCAGACTGCTATATGCTGGGGAAACACTGATCTCGGTACTCCTGTGAAGACAAAGAATTTGTTGCTGAGATGCCCTGATAATCCTGGCCCACAGAGCAGAATCTCTGTCCACTGCCACCAAGATTCTGGCATTCTCAGAGGAAAACGCTCTTCTCACCCTAAAGGTTTTTCCTCAGATGTCTTAGTAAAACATTAGTCCTGCCAAAAGAAAATTAATTTCATTTCTAAATCTCCAAGCAACATCCTTCTTATGCTTTTACCAACATAAAGACAGAAAACACCCTGCTGTTATCTTCTCCATGTGTAAGGACATAAACACAGTAATCAAGTCACCTCATGCCTCTCTGATTAAATGTGAATGCTAAATTGAACAGGATGATACCTGGACAACATTTTGACCAGAGTCTGACGCTAGCTGTGCCTGGGATGGGGGTATTGGTAACTGTAAGTACAGCGATTTGGGGACTGAAGGTATTGCCTGTCTGGCAAATCTACTCCTCTATTTGTGATTTAGAGGGCTGGAGCTGATGGTTTAATAAGAACGTCCCATCCACAAGAGCTGACTGGAGATGTACCACAGAAACAAGTTTCTGTCAGAAGATGCTTTTTCAAAACTTAAATGCTTTGTAAGTATGTTTTAGCTGAAAAAAAAAAAAAAAATCCACTGACTTTTGAGACCAGCTTCCTAGCAGGGCTGTTGAGGAACCAATGCCCCAAACATATGCATTAAGAAGACTGCTCAGATCTGCTGACTCCAGAACTTCCTGACTGCTCCCAGCTGCCTGATGGTCTCTGCAGGTAAGAGAACTTCCCATTGGTATTAAGGGATTGGCTCAAGATTTGTGGATAAACTCCACTGGAAAATAACAATCAGTACAAACCCCACCTTGTGCTTCAAGGGCAAGACCAATTTTTAACCTTGCTTCTTCACAATACATAGATAGCAATTTAGCTATCCATGCAATTTAATTAAAAAAAAATCCTGCCGAAACAAGCCAATTCACTTCACACACTTTGTGCCTTGCGGAAGAGATAAACTCTATGTGACAGATAGTAGTCACAATGCTTAATGTGCTCCAAATATTTTATGTTAAAAAGAATAGAGAAAATGTGATTAACTGAAGAAAAAAATGTAACAAAGTAAGATTAAGAAGCTATTCAGTATTACTGAAGCCTTCAACCACATGATGAAAACATCCTTTTTTTTTTTTTAATTTAGAAGGCATGCTTGGCTTCAGCAGCTTATGAAGAAAGCATTGTAGGGAGCCAGCAACAGACTACTTAACAACTTCAGTGTTCTGTTTCACTTTCCTAAAGACATGTTTAAAAACGCAGTTCCCATTCCATCAATGCCCACTTTAATTTATAGGTCAGTACATTAATTTTTTAAACTCAAGTGTTGTACCGTAAGAGATCTTAAAGAGTTACTGCACCCAGGAAATGCCAAGCAGCTAGTGTGAAGTAAATGTAATTCCTTATGAGGTTCATTGTGACTGATGCAATAGCAGTTCCCAAATCTATGGCATTAATATTTGACTATGCTAGAAATAGCGTAATGAAGAAGACGACCCGTTGGCTTGTCTAGAGAAATCAGGGGGCACAGTCTGGTTTGTGATGGTTGGAGAGTCTCAAAAAAGAAAATAACCAAGGGTTAGGTGACAGACAGGGCATTGACTGCACAGTCTCATGCATTTGGCCGTTACTGCATATGCATTACAAGACTCAGTAAGAGGCTTCTGCATGGAGCAGTTCCTGCTGTATCTAAACTTGAGCTACACATGCAAGCCTTCTATGCTGTCCAGATTAATGTCAGACTGGAGGGAGAACTACCTGCTAAGAATTAGTTCCAGCTCATAATTACATATTATGAGGATTTTCACATTGGAGATACGTGGCAAATGCAGATTTATTAAATTGCAGTCATACAAAGTTCCAAAGCGTAAGTCTATCCTATCATTTCTAGGTAGCTGAGAAATTCAGTATGGCAACTGCTGTATCACAAGTGAAATGTGACTCATTCACTCAGTGCTAAGATGAAATACATTCAGATGCGAGGCTATTTTTAATATCAAATTCTTAGCTGTTCCTTGAGTTAATTTGCTTATATGATTTTGTATATGTGAAAGTGTTTCATCTGTTTAACCTTCTCTTTTCCCATCTATGTTTTCAAAGAGCCATGCTTCAAAGTGTGAGAGGATTTTTTAAAATTCAATTCAATATGTGGATCATTTCAAGTCAGAGACAGACAAGTTCTAAGGCTAACCCCACTTAAAGGAGAAATCTGGCTGATTTCATGGACTTTGGATTAGGCATTTTGTTTGAGCAAATCTGGGGCTAAGCTACAGACAGCTATCGCTTTGTTAAACAAGCAACTCTGGTATTAATGAAGGCATTTAAAACACTCTCCAGCATTCTTTAGATTCCTGGGAAGTCCTAGTGCATTGCTTAAAACTAAAAATACACAGGAACTGTCTTTACAGGGATCTTTGCTTTGGATGAGGGACTATTAGTTGCCCAGTCATTGTTTACTGGCCCGCTACAGTAAATTGCCTGTTGATCTTTGAATTTAATTAATCTTTGGTTCTGATGCCTGCTCAGAAAAACAATATTGACGTGGTCTTAGATTGGCAAAGACAACATCTTTACAAAGCCATAGATGTGTTCTGCACATAAGGTGCATGACGTCTCAAACTCCCTTAGAAATCCAAATAAGAAGGAAAATATATTCCATTTTAAATATAACTGCTACAGATGTAGCTATAATGCTGTAAGCCCCAGTCTCTGTCCCCACTGCAAATCTGGAACAAGTGCACTGACATCTAAAACTCTTCTCAAATTACAGCAGGGTAATTAATATCAAAAAGCACATCTATACACAGTTACTAATACATTTTTCCTGAGATATTAAGACAAAATTCAGGAGATGTCCACACTCTCATGGAATAAGACTGAGGTAACAGCTGCATTCCACTGAAGTCACCCCAAAGAAGCCAGCTTTCATTTCCCAAAGAACTGAAAGCAAGATTCTTCTTGTGTATTTTCTGATCCATCATATCAAGTTGAATGGGGTGGGGAAAAAAAGGTCTGTAAGATGACCATTTTTTGTTAAATTCTGATGCGTAATAAGTCATGTTGATAGAGAACAATTGACTTCACCACTTTTTAGTTTTATATGGTATTTCCATCATCTGTTCAGACATAAAATGCATTTTGTCTTAAGGAAATTTTACAGGCCACATGAGGATCCACATTACCTATAAGCATAACTGATCCACTTTTAAGTGCAGTGTTCTTAGGAGTATCCCCAAAATGTATTCTGTCTCAGACTGTGGCAGAGAGCTGCTAAAATGCCAGTGTCCTACCAAGAAAGGTGTTCTCAAGCCATGGTGACAGGTTGTTGGTTTTTGTTGCTACTTACTGCTGAAGACAAATTTTAACTTAAACATTTTGATGGCAGTGATGAGAAGGACGTAAAAAGGTGGTTTTGTGTTCATGACACTGGTAGTAAATAGGAAAGCAGAAAAACATTGACTTCACTTGGTTGAAACATTCCTTGTAGTAACAATAAAAGAATTCTGAACTGCTTCAATACTGTGAGCAATCTGTACTCCAGTTTTAGTCCTACGTATTGTCATCAGGATCACTAAGATTATCAAAGAATCACTAGCTCTTTATCTGTGCCCCCTGCATGATCTGGTTTTAGTAGTACTGTGTGGAAGAATATCTTGAATAGACAGATGGGTTAAAGAGAGGGAGTCCTATTCCTAGTTACAATAGCATAATGCTTTTTGAAGCACACAGCAGCAACATAACTATGTTTTAACATCTAATGCTATGCACCCCATATTCTAATGTACTGCTTAGAGAAGCCTATGCCAAGAAAATATGGAATTGTGAGCCAAAAACTGTATAGTGTCATTCAGACTAAGAACCCATGGTATAAACTTATTTAAATATAATCCACTATATTTTTTTCATTGCTTTTCTTCCTTAGCTTAATAAATTACCTACCTCTCTGCATTTACTCCACAGTGCTTGCTTAATAGAGGATACACAAGCTTCTTTTTGTTAAGCAGAGAAAAATCTCATTTTCTCTATGCTGTGTTACATAAAATTCAACATAATCTCTTTAGAGAACGGAAAAATAGCAATTTCTGGGAGTCGAGCATGGATATACGGAGGTCAGCAAATAACTATCAGAGTTTTAAAATGCATCCAAAATGCAGATCTCTGACATCAGTAAAAAAAAACGAAAACAACACATCACCTAAATTACCTCACAGCTATTTGCATAAAGGGTCCAGAGGCAGTACAGTATAAGTACGGAGGCACAAGCTATCCAAAGAGAACTTAGCAACAGTTCTATTGGATACTGTGTGTGTCTGTAGCAGAAAAAGGGCAACTTTGAAGCTCAGATGTGCAAACAGCTTTAAAGGACAAAACAACCTCTTGGCAGATGCATCAGGCAAAAATCTGAAACTACAAACCAGGTAATTTACCAAATAATTTCCTTTTTAGCTGATTCTAACTTTCCTGCTAAAGGTTGCTCTGAGTCAAATAGCTTATGTGATAGTCTTAGGGCTGTTATCCAAGGACTTCATCAGAAGTGATAGAAACCTGTCAATAATAGAGGTAATAAATGCATTCTCTATTTTAAAAATTTGTAGAACTTTGTAAAATTGTGCATTTCTTTTATGTTCTGAAGATATAATTAAGCTGAATGACTGCTATACTAGTATTACAGATGTATTCCATTCTACTGAAAGAACTCTGCTTACTGGAAAATAAATCCATGATAAGTGCATTAGGAATTCTAGCTAGAAGAAACAGAAAAACACTTGCTATCTGGCCAAGAGGTAATAGAGGGTATGATTATTATTATGTCTCTGAAAAAAATATGAGGTGCTTCCCCAATGCAAGAAATCTCCCTGACCAACGGAACATAGCTATTTTATTATATTGACAAATACAAAGACACACGGTGACTTTAAAAGTATAGAAATAGATATTAAAAAATTAATGGATTATTAAAGTTGGGCTTTAACTAAAGGTGGAATGAAAGTGCTGCAAATCCCAGTATTATTTAAGATGAACCCTTAGCACAGGAATTGCCTGGTGGAGATTGTTAATACAGGTATATGTGTATGTACCTCATGTGGGGCAACAGTTAACACAGAGTTCAAGAGGGAAATTATTTTTTGCCTCTTGGCAGAAGGCAAAGCAAAATCACTGGCTTTCAGAACTATCTGTGCATCAGGAAGTTAGGTGTTTAAAATGTTCATTTTTGCTTCATTTTTCTGGCAGAATAAGTGCCTGGTTTTAATTATGAAGAATTTACAGATTCTTTGAAGAATATAAAATAAACTGAGAGGTTAGTAACCGAAATGAGGAAGGACCCTCATAAGAGACTTCAATCCCTACAGCAGTGCCATATTTCTTTTTCAGTGTCTGGAAATACTGCTATTATTGCTAGGTTTGTTTGCTCCATCCTCCTCCCCTGTTCTCTCTCCCATGAAAGTTGCAGGAACCCGTGTCCCACAATGCCATCTATCCAGCCGCCCCTGCTACTCCTCTGCCTGACCTTGTGTGGTGCTTGCCTCAACGGGGGGCAGCCTCTTCCAGAGGGAAGTGAGAACATGGGAAGAAGTCCCCTGGATGACATCCTGCAGAGGTCTGAAAGCCTCATTCTTCAGTCTGTCCTCAAGAAAGCTGAAAAGGAAGAAGAGATGAATAAAGGTATGTATAACACCAGGGACATCCATCTGGTGATGTTGGCATAGTACTTGGCTGAGATCATTAGATCCAATGTACAGTTCGCAGGTTCTAATGTATATATTTATTACTGTAACTAAGGGGAGGGGAAGGATAGGAGGTCTGCCGCAATACCCTGACACAGAGTTCTCAAAAGGCACTTTCTTCTCTAAGATCACCCCACTTGGGCAATGCTGTACCACCACTAAGCAGCTGTTGCATAATAAGGTAGAAGCCTGTCACAGAAAACCTGCCTGTCTGGCAAGTACTTCCCTAGGGAAGCTCTAAGAGGAAATGTGGAGGACATTCCCCAGTTATGGACCCTGTACTTAATGTTAATTGGAGGTGGGAGTGCTGCCAGTCACCTACTACCTCAACCCACTGGTTTCTACAGCCCAGCACAGGTGGGCTTTTCCATGGCTGGGAATGCAGAGGCTGCTCTAGTGTTCACTGCCTCCTAGCTTGCAGATGCTCTACTCTCACTAGTCACAGCAGTGGAAGCAAATCAGACTCGGGGATTGCAAGAAGCAGCACATAGGTGCCTGCCACCAACAAGGAGCACAGAGCCCTTTCAGAGTGGAAAGAGGAGCTGGCCCCATAGTGCCCATAGAAAAAGCCTTCCTCCCTCTTCACAAAAATGCTGAGAGTTGGTCATGTCTGAAATATTAAAAAGAGCTTAAGAATGAGTAAGAGATACTAATAGAGTTATGATTGGTAGCTGGAAATACGGAGCTGGCTTTCAAATGTCAACAGCCCTGCTTCTACTTATGTCTCAGCCCTACCCTTTCCCTGTCTCATGATGATTTCTAGCTCTTCCCCATACCCAGCTTCTGCAGCTGATTTCTTCCAGCTGCTCAACATCTTTTACTCACCTCCCTTTACCTGAATCAACACATTAGGCTTTATCATTGCATGTCTTCTCATTTGGCTCCAGCTAGTTTCTAATGTATCAATCCAGCCTCGCTAAAAATATGCCAGAACTGTTTTGACAGATGCCATCCAGAGTAATCAAATTCAAGACCATACAGTTAACTGTGCAATTAAATGGGCATAATGAGCAACAGATTATGATCCTGCACCACAGAACTCCACAAATTCCCATTTCAACTTCCTTAGTGAGGATTATGGGGGCTCATTAATACTATTCTTTTCCTTGGACAGAATCAAACGCCCCTCTGCCAGAATGGCTTTCCAAAAGACAACACCCTGGGAAAAAGTACCTAAGTGACCTGGAAAAGAGACAGCATCCTGGAAAAAGAGATGTTGAGGAAGACACATCTTATGGAGACATTCAGAAGAGGCAGCATCCAGGGAAAAGAGAGATAGAAGATGACCTTGATGGCTATCTAGAGCTGAAAAAGCGACAGCATCCTGGCAGAAGGTCACTGTTGGATCAGTATGCTGACACCCCCAGTCCACAGCTAACCTACTTGAAAGAGTTCCCCAAAAGACAGCATCCAGGCAGAAGGTATCTGATGTACAAGCACCAGCATCCTAGCAAAAGAGGCTGGAATGATGAGGTAGACCTAAATGACCAATATGGTGAGAAACGCCAGCACCCTGGAAAAAGGCATGGGGATTCTGACAGCTCAGATGATGCAGGCCCCTGCAACTTTCAGGAGTCCTTCACCTGTAACAAAGGCAGCTTGTTGCTTGATTTAGTAGATGTTAGCAAAGACAGGGTAGAAGAAAAACGTCAGCACCCAGGAAAAAGATCAGCATGGGAGAGTGAAACAGAGGAATGAGAAAATTATTGTGTATCATTTGCATTTAGTGAAGTAAACTGCCAGATCACTAAAAAATTCTGTTCACTCCCTTCTGGCTTCCTGCTGCTGACCTCTGCACCTATCTTTCAGTGCATTAATGTTTCCATTTAAGTTAATGGCTTTGTCACACACTTAAAGGAACTAAAGGACCCAGCTGAATGGGACAGGCAAGTACTGAGGGTCTTCAACTCCCTTACTTTAGGAAGTTAAAAGTGCTCATTTCCTCATGGGCCCAGACCCCAGAATAATGCCACTATGTGTGTCCAATTTTCTGTTCCCAAATTACTAAACCAGGCTCTTAAATATCTGTTCTGATGCTACTAATTACATGGTTTCCTCTCACATCAGTGAAATCAGTAAGTTAATAGAGACAGAGAAAAAAGAACAACATATATGCCAATTATTTCAAAATGAAATTGAATAGGTTTTCAATTCTAAATGACACATTAATGAGACCTGAACCCTTGCCTACTACAATCTGTCCAGACAGTAAGCACTGAACAGAGATAGGAACTGTTCCAACTGGAACAGATTAGATGACTGACTTCATAGTTTGACTTGGAACTGGCACACAAAACCCCTTTTCATCGAAGAGGCTGTACAGTGCAAAGGGTTAATTCATCCCAGAGCATCTGAACTGCAAGTTGTGAACCTGACTGCATACACCCCATACTAGAACTCCCATCCTGGTGTGTCCACATTTCAGTCATGCCACTTGAAATCATGACTTCTCCTCAGATATTTAAAAATAAAATGAGCAGACATCCTCTTCTTCCAATAAGGATTTCTGATTTCTCTCCTCTCAAAGGAATGCTTTTACTTTCCATGGTCAGACTCCCAAAAGTGTTTATTCAATATGAATGATTCAATAAACATCAACAGTCAAGTCTGGGTGTCCTTATTGGTTTTGCAAACATACTGTAATAGAGTGAAAAACATAAAACCAACCCAAGCTAAATAAAAATAAATAAATTAACATCAAAGGGTATTTTTCTAGGCACAATCTCCTTGCATTTTGGTGGTCAGCACATGTTCACATGTAAAACTGTTTTGCTACTTTAGTGGAAGGATGATTTGCGTATAGATAGATTCCCTTTTTAAATCTTCTACCTCTATGACACACAAACTTAGGCATCTGGGCTAAACCCACAGGAATTTTGTCACCTAGTTCACAGGGAACTTTATTAGAAGTCTGATTTCCTGTTCACAGGTCTAAACAATAGATTTACTGATTTTTGCCATTAATGCACAGTTATTGAGTGCATTGAGTTATTCATATCACTTCTTGTACATTCAAAAGGCATGTCAATATTTCACTAGAATGTTATTTTTTTATAAACAAATGAGTGTGTTTTCCACTGACATTCATCCTTCTCAATACCATCAAGACACATTAAGTGCCTTCAGTGCTCCTTTTAAATACGTTTCCCCACTCAGTGCCTCAGACCACTTCCTCAGTTATAGAAGTTAGTTTTGCCATATGATTTAGTTACCCTGAAGAAGAACAATTAATCATCTCAGTGAGTTTCACTGAAGTTAGATGCTCCCAGGCTGATCAACACATAACATGGACTATCCAACAATTTCTAACTTTGGAGATAATATGCTGTTTAATATATGTGACAACTGGCAGACCTCTTCTATTGACAGGGGTTTTCTAATTAAGAAGTGCTGAAGAAATCCTCAGAGGAGGTAGCTGGGAACATTCCATACACTTCAAATTCCTTCAGCACACTTTCTGTATATGAAGCCTTTTAAAATGTTCAGTTTTCATTTTATAAGGGAAAAAAAGATTTCTCTAAAGAATATCATTCCATATACCATTTCCAGCAATGAATGAATGCTTCTTAAACCTCAGGAAACACTACTACACAAGACTACCACCACTTGCTACAAAATGTCCAAAATAAGTGAAAAACAGGAAAGAAAAAAATACCAAGTGGGTAGACACGGGCAACAGCAAAAACTCATCACAGCTCCTGCAAGACAAGGATGCTGCTGTGGCTGCTACAAGAAAGCCAAGGTGGGGAAGGGAGAGAAGCATGAAAGCCCAAGGTCAAAGTTTTTAATGTGCAGCTACAGACAACTGGTTCAAGCTATTAGGTTACTGCCTATAAAATCCACCATTCTGAATAAATGTCAGATGCCCTGTATTATCAATAAATCAATCACTTATTGAAAAGGAAAGATGTAGCCAGTGAAAAGCTAGCACAACTGATTTTATGTAAGTCTAATTTTTCCATCTTCTGTATTTTAGGTTCTGAGTGCTCCAGTATTTTCAGATGCCAAGTTCAGCCAGGGGCTAGTCATCTGTTTAAAAGCAGGGCTATCACTAGTATAATTTTTTAAGGAATTATTTCTATTGGTTTTGAGTTGTTTTGCTTTGTTGGGTTTGTGTTTTGTTTTTTTTTTAAAAAGCCAAGCCTGAGCTGACAGCACTTTACAGTAAATCTGATTTATCACGTCACTGTTATCATGCCTGCAGTTTTTAAAATTTGCCTCAGTTTGGAGCTGCTGAAAATACACTTGCCTGGCTGGGAGAGGCACAATGTAGACAGATACTGGGAGAGCTTTGACCCATTTCAATTACTTTAAAAAAACCCAACTTTGTTACTCCAGGAAAAGGTCTCTGGAAAATGACAGAAACACTCTCAGGGATTCCTGGACAGGGGTGGGATCACATGTGAAAGATCCCCTTCCAAGTTGTGTAGGTCAGTAGCCAGTTTAAAGGACAAGACAGATTTCCATTCAGAGAAGCACATGTACAGATCCTGATGCTGGCCTGACATGTCCATGAACAGAAAACAGAGTAATTTGGTGACCGAAACATGAGCCAAAAGTCCTGAGCTTCTGTCAATGACCTGGGTTTGAAAATTCTAGAAACTCGAAGAGTATGACCCTGGAAACAGAACTGAATACAGGACAACGTTCTGCATTGTATTTCCCATGTATATAACAGTCAAAAGAGCCAGCAAATCTGCTACTGAGGCACCATAAAAATGTAACCATCATTACCAAGTAGCTAGAAAAGTGACAGCCCTGACAGAAATCCCAAGAGGATGAAGTAGGATGCTCTTAACCCTCCACAGATATTTGTCTAATTATAGCTAGTTGTAGTTCTCTTTTATACTTGGGTCCCTGCACCTACATGATTATTTTGATTATGCTAAACATGGCTCATGGAGCTACATCATCTCTGAAAAGACCTGGAGATAGAGGTACAAGTGCAACCTAGGAAAGAATAAAATTAATTACCGAATTCAATTTTTGCAGGTAGGTTAGCAATTGCACCTGGTGGGGATCTAATAACCTTATTTAATCCCATGCATTTTTTGAAACATAAGACCGTTTACAAAAAGGGAACAAAAATCCTGGTTTTCTCCATTTTATATTAAATTCTCCCTTTAAAACCTTCAAAAGCTAGCATTTACTTTCAATGGAGAAAATTACTCAATCATTACTTGCATAAAAGACTGTCACTCAAGAAAAGGAAGGAGAGGGTTTGGGGAAAAAGATTACATATTTTAAGAGTTCTCCTACATTTTTTAAGTAACTCAAACCAATATTTCAATCTTGCCAATAAAATTTGTCCAGATTTTTGTTTTGATTGAAAGTACATTTTCTCTCAGTATCTGCATGAAAATTTCACCTCTCTTAATGAGTTTCTTCCTGTCTTCTGCAGTCTTGCAGATATACCACCATTCAAGTACAATATTCCTTCTCCTACAGACATCATCCTCAGAGGACTGCCTGCCATTTGTGATTTGACAGTTTTGTGACTATGAAACACACATAAGCACAAGTTCTGAAGTTATGTATCTGTCAGATTTAGCTACACCATAAAAACTTTTTGGCTCTGGAGTTTGGCTGAGGGAGCAACCAGAAAAGAACCAGCTTCTATACTATAATGCTCTGCTGCTTTGAATAGTAAATGCAGTGCAATCTGTTAGCAACATGAACTACACAGATATATACTACTTAGTTATAAGGTAAGAGTTTGTTAATTGCACATCTCTCATCATCTTATTTTTATTGTATACCTTCCTGTCACTGTAATCTTTTATTAGAATTTAACATCCATGCTAACATCTACATTTGTTACTAGCTTTGCTCAGTCACACACATAAATGTACTTGTGCAGTCTGATAATTGCAGAACAGGGCCTTTAAGTTGCGAAGCTCCTTGATGAAGTGCACCATCTGTCTGTAAGAAAGACAGTCTGTGGCTCTTCAGGAATGATAACAAATCAATAGCAGACTTGGTCCAAATGTCATGGAAGTCAGGGGAAAAATCTCCTTTGTCCTCTGCAGAATCTGGATTAGGTCCACAGAGCAAAGCTGTGTACTGGCCCTAATGTGGCACTACAGTCATGGAAAATCTTATTTCCAGCTTTAACTGAGACTAAAATAACCATGCACAAATTAGTTCTTTGTTTACTCTACTGCAGTTTTACATTTCTGGCATGTTACCAGTTATTGAGACATAAGGTATTTTGATTCCTAAAGAGCAACTTTTACAAGTGTCTTCAAAATAAGCTTTGTTTTCAATGGGAGGGGAAAGTTGATGTGAACAAGCTGTATAATTAACATCTCCTGCAACTGTTTTCAACTCCTCTCACCATTACTGTTCTGTGCCCCCTCCCACACGCTCATCAGCCTTGACCTCTTTGCTAACCCACTGTAATTAGCATGGGCTGAGTTTTTCCAAGGGACATGTGGCCCCAACAAACCCCTTTATTACTACTTTTAATGACTCATTAGTTGGAGAAAGTTTGAAAACATCATCATCATAGCTGAAGTTAGAGTCACTGCTTGCCTGGTAACTCACTCAGTTAACATTAAACAGCCAGCTGCAATTTTAAAGCATCAGTCAGGACATTGCTACAGAAAAAAACTATCATCAAAAGCAGTCAAGTGGAGAAGCATTGCAGAAGGGATGAGCTGGGGTGAGGTCCAGGGTGTACAGAGACATGACACAAAAGATGCAGACAGGGAAATCTGTCTCTTCTTCGGAAATGGATATGTGGACTACGTGCATTAGAGTGCAGAAGTCCTGCTTCCGTCCCAACAAGAACAGCATAAACTCCCCACTCCTACAGGGTAATGAGGAACGATTCAGGTTGAACACAGAGACCTCTGACAAAAACAGATGGGGAAGTTCCTTGAGAAAACTTAGTTATCTACCTGCCTTGAGATTACTTTTAGACCTGTGTGAAGACATTTGTGGTTTGTTTTCATTGATGAACCACAGCAGCTTAAAAGTCCTAAGAAGGAAATCAAGAAAAGGACATTTATCAGTTATCTGCCAAT